AACAATATGTCGAGATTGTGTTTTAAATTCGAAGATTTTATGTTTTAGAAACACACATTAATAGAATTTTATTTATTGGATTGTGATATATTTTAGAGATATACGTCATTAATTAACGGGATGCCTGATTAGATTTTTTGTTTTTGAAATTTCTTACTATAGGAAGATTAAATATTCTAAGAATATTCGAATATTTTTTTTCTCAAATGTAGTTTCTTATATCAAAAATATTGAAAATATATTAATAAATATCAAATCAATTAATTTGTCAAAAAAAAATTCAAAAATATTAATAAATGCATTTTGAAATATAATAATAACACGTTAAATTGGTTCATTAAAAATAGAAAACGTAAGGGTTATACCAAAAAAATGTTGCAATTGGAGATTATTTGGGGATTTTTTGTTCCATCTGTTTTTTTTTTGCCTATTGATGAAGTTTTTTCGAAAAAACAAAATAAAAATCTAAATTTAGATTATTGCATATTTTTGTTGGAGACATGTCATCTTTTTTCTTTGCCACATCATAGTTTTTAACCAATGAATTTAAAACAAATAAGCAAACCTAATAAATCTATTTCTCTTTTAATAAGAAGGGGATATACAATATTAATTATAAAAATGGACTCATTTGGAAAAAGACCTCTATTGCTAAAATTGCAAGTCACCATGTGATATTACAACATAGACTTGATCTAACGATCAATACATACGTGTCAAATAGGTGTTCGTCTCTCTTATATTTCCGTATAGAGAACATGCAAGTAAATATTAATATAACATTGCTTATTTGTTAATTAGCCACACGTGTATATAACGAAGACTACGAACCAAATGCTTACGTTATTTAGTGGTATTGTCCACGGCAACGGCTAAACTTCAATAACCTTTGAAAAAATGTTACACTATTTGTAATTCGTTTTCATTAAAAAAATATATTTTGTAATCAATAAAAAACAAGGGAAATCACGCTTATATTACTTAATAGACATCTAATTCATGATTAATGCGATGGATGACCAAACTCATTTGCTTCACTGGTCCGTTATATATGTTAAAGAACTCAGGTAGAAACCTGAAATACGAAGTGGTTCATATGCAATTCAGTTGTTTAACATGAGAATCAAATCCAAAATCTCTGTGAATATACGTATGTCATGTATGTTATTGTGTGGATCTAAGTTTTTAGCTATGAGCTGCACGTGTGTGTACATTCGCACGTACGCACCCTATCATTTCACATTAGTTCCAAAGTCATTTTCACCACCCAATTAATCTAGGTTTTCCGACACTCCTCAGTTTTCGTAAAATTAAAACCTTAAATAGTTTGATTTATTTTTTGCTAAGTAAAATAGTTTAATTTACTTTTGACAAATATGGAGTAGATTATGATTACTTTTTCTTCTTCACCAAATGATTTGATTTCCTTTAAAATATATATTTTTCAAGCAAGATATATTTATTTCGAAAATCAGAATAACTATAATATATAAATGCATTGTAATGATGAAATACCTGATTTTATAGTTTTTTTTTATGTCAACAACAAATTAACTAAAACGGTATAGAAATCCAAACCGGAGATTTTATAGTTTNTCCACCAAAATTTTTTAATCATTTCACCATAACTTAGTTTTTTTTTTGTTAAAGACATCACAACATAGTTTTTGTTTTTGAAACGT